AGCGCGAGTAATTTAAGCGGGGAAGGGACTAAATTAACTTTCCTCAAGTGCTCAGATATGTACTGTGCAATTACACCGCTAACGGTGTTAATATTTTTCTGTGTGTAGGAAGACGGCCGGTGCAGTACTCAGAGCGCGGCGGTCGGCCCGCCGCGCCGCGCGCACATGTGTCAATTGTGTCATCCGGCCCCTGTTCTGATTCTCATGCAGGGCCTCCTCTAACATGTTAACTGGGGGGCCGCGCCCCCCCCCCCCCAGTGATGCCGCTGCCCCCCCCCCCCGTGGAGCTGAAATCGCGTCACTGGGGGGGGGGGCACACAGTTAAACCAATAATGTAGAAAAATGAGGAAATATCACTAAAAGCGTACCACACAAACAATCCAGATTCCAGACTATCTCCACCAAATCTCCACGATCACCACGTTACTAATTTTATTTTTCTTATACCTACCGTTGTTTTTTATCTACAAAGAACATTTCACATCCGCATGTTGCCTAAGATGAGCCACGGAATGAGGTCAGACAATGCAGTTTTTATAATCGAACACCGACTGAAGCCAGAACGGGGCATGGCCATTGATGAATTCCTTTGAGAAGGAAGCGTCACGGAAGGTCGCCCTCTCAATCAGTCAAACGCTCACGCTTCTACACGCATAGGCGCGGGAGCCGGGGGGGCAGTGGGGGCAGCTTGCCCCCCCCCCCCAACTCTGGGGCCGTGGGGGCGGTGCCCCCACAGCTTTGAGACGGAATACCACACTTTTTTTTGCAAATGTTTTCTTTTTTGTTGAAAAAGCCGAGGGGTGAAAAATAAGTGGCCTAAAACCGGTGAGAAAACTAGATTTGGGGGTACCCTAGGTTGATCTCTATTATGGTGTGCCCCCCCAGTCGGAAAGTAGTTCCCGCGCCCCTGTCTACACGGAGAAGGACTATTTTATTCGGGAGACGGGTTCATTCTTGAAGAGGAAATCTTGCTACGGTCAAATGAGAACGCGGCGGAGCACGGGAAAAGTTTTTATTCCCCGGTGTTTGGGACTGGAAGCAATAAGCCCTCACACTTATTGAGGGGTTAGCCGTTAGATGGACCCACCCCTAGGGTTTTCGTAAATAACTCACGTAAAAAGTGGCCCAGCGTGGCAAAACTTTTAGTATTCTTGTGATTATCAATTGGCTGCACATTTCCTGAAATGACCCTGGTCTTTAGCCTTCATTACTATTAACCTGTGGCCTGTTTCTTAAGTCATTTTCAGGCAGGTAGCTTTTTAGGATAGTGAGCTGTTTTCAGGCAGGAAGCTGTTGGTTAATGGATTCCAGTGTTAGTGGGAAAGATTGACCCTCACACTTTTAGCGGTTGGTTAGATTCCTGACGCACTGCGTGCCCTCGTCCGCACATGGGGGGTGGTTGCCCCCCCAGGTAGTCTTTCTGCTCTGCACTCGACATTTTTAGAGCTAGAAGGCTGATTTTTCGTATAGCTGCTCCTCTATCCTTTCTTGATGTCCACTGAAAATGTCAAGTTTCTGTGATTTTTGGTTTCGGAGATATGACCTGGTTTTTCAGGTCATGTCATGACCCAAATGGCCAATTCTCAACATCTTGCGTTTGCTATGGGCCTTGTGAGCTTTTGACACCTTGATTTCGGCCTTTTTTGCCAGTCTTACCTCCCACCTATCATGGAACATGTTGTTCGACGATGTACAGGTGTCAAGGTCAGGGTCAAGGTCAACCTAGGTCATCTAAGATAATTGCGTTTTAGGCAAGCTGAATTTACTTTTTGTGAAGTTTTTTGACTGTATTTTTGGTAAAAGCTTCTCAGATCATGATTTCATGTAATATGGACACATAAACAATCGGTGACAACATCAGTATACACACAGACACACACAGACATACAAACACATATAATTGACCTTGACCTAGCTTGACCTGAAATGACCTCAGCAGCAAAAATCTGGTCGGGTAGTGTGACAAAGAGGTTCTAGCTGGCTTGGCACCAGAAAACGGCATCGTCATCGGTATATGATAAGCAGCGCACTTGATATCCAACGGTGACCCAAAACAGCAACATTTTTTAGTTTGACCTGACCTGGAAGGTCAATGACTGACTGAGAAGGTAAAACTGGGTGTCATTGGATTCGTCTCTTCCCAAAGAATCTTTTTGGTCTTTACCGCTAAGCTCTATCTCCAACAGGAATGAAATGGCGCGGGGGGTGGCAACCACCCCATGTGCGTTCTAGGATGGGAAAATGGTATGTGCGGGCGAGGGTTAACCTTCGCCCCAGTGGGGGGGGGGGCATATGTTCCCACCCTGTCGCGTTTTTCGCGTGAATGAATGGGGGGGGGCATATGTTACCACCCTGTCGCGTTTTTCACGTGTGAATAAAAAACCGCGGCGCGTAGCGCCGCGCCGCTTGGGGTAGCTTTTGGTACCTCAATTTTGGACAATGTGTGAAATTTTTTACCCCAGGTCATGTCAGGTCAGGTCACCAGGTCAAGTTAACTGACCAAGCCTCAAAAAAAAGTTTGCAATCATGTCAAGCCTGCAGTGTTTGTCAGAAAGGTTTCAAACTTGGTGGATCGCATGATGTTATGGGCGCCTATAATTTGTATGTCTCGGATTTTTTATATCCCTGAGTCCTGACCTAAGGTCAGGTCAGTGGCGTGACCTTACCATTATAAGTCAATGGAGAAAAATGAAAATGCCTCTATGAAAATGCCCGTAGTTCGGTATTACCCCACTTTCCCTTACCCCACGTACCCCACGGTGGCGCCGCCCATGGCCGCGCATCATCCGTCATTACATGGCGGTCGTCATAAACAAAAATAATTTTTCAAGTAGTAAACCACCGCATCTGGATGAAATCACCTCCTCTTTCAAGTAAGCATATTCTTTTTTCATCAAAATTATGTTGTCGATCAATATTGATCATTTTCGGATGCTGCAAATTGAAGTTCCAACTTCAGGCCACAAAAAAGCAGAGCTGGGCAAGTGCGTTCCTTTAGTGCGTTCCTGCGTTCTTCCGTACGTACGCACCGCCCTTTTTAGGAACGCAAGAACGCAGGAACGCAAAGTTTTTCAAAGGAACGTAAGTAAGAGGAACGCACCACCCGAAATTTTGAAGCGTTCCTGCGTTCTTGCGGAACCACCCGAAAAATCATATTGCTGCCAATGACCTCTGTGTCAAATGTTTGAAACTCGAGTACGTGTGTTTGCCGGTAGAGGCGCCACTTGTCGGTCGAATCGAGGAAGGCTTGTTTAGATTTAGTGGTGATGTTCACTATTCGATTCGGTTTCAGGCATCAAATGTGTAAAGTAAATATGATAACTTTTACTTAGATACATCTTTCAACTTAACTATTGTTTTTAAGCAGGTCGTATTTTTGTTGAAAACCCTACGGATGATATTGGTAAAACGTATTTCAGATATTCGATTCGGAAAAGAGATGTCGAGCTGCTTTTCGGCCCCGCGTCGCCATTCTGGGTATTCTGTGATCGATTCGCCCCGTGTTTGGTTGGGCCCGCGCCGCGTGGTTCGGCGGTATTTCTTTGTCCACGACTTCGGTTGTGAAGAACACGCCTGTAGTGTTGGACTGGCGCGATTTGCCTACTTTGTCCGCTACAGTGTTGCGTTGCACTGATTTTGGTATGATTTGCTGCTTGGTAGGGCCAGAATACAATACGGGATAACAGTTTGGGACGCAGGAACGCAGGAACGCTAACGCACCGAGCGAAAAAATTGAGGAACGCTATTCCAGGAACGCACTAACCGCGGCCGGAGGAACGCAGGAACGCTAACGCACTACCGAAAATCGAGGAACGCGCCCAGCTCTGCAAAAAAGGGTATACGTCAACGCTGGACTACCATACAAACAGCGGCCATATTAAAGCTGGTTTATTCTTCTTGCACCAGGTGTCAGCACTTCTTTTCCAAAATCAGTGCTTGTATTTCCAAAATCGTTATTTCCTCGCTGATGAGTGAAATCGGCTTCATCGTTGCCAAAAATAGCTGATAGTGTTGTCATTTTTGGCACACGGTTGCCAAAAATGGCATGTGCTAAAAATGACAACGATTGACCAAACCTCCCCCGACTGGTCTCAAGGGGTTTGACGTCCATAGTAATGCCGTGAAAAGAATAGTATAACATTTCTATTTGTACTCCCTCTATGAGATAGGGCCAGTGTAGTCGCGCCCCGCGAGCTTGGTTTCACCGCTCGGTCGCTACGGGCCGAGGAAATCGGTCCCCGCCTGAGGGCAGGACGGAGGTCAAGGAGGGAGCGCGAGGTCAGCCAGATATCGCCTGGTGCCGAGCGGTTGCCCTTCCCTTCCCCTCTCCGACCCTATCTTTCTCGGTGGCTGATTCAGCCAAGTTACCGGCTTGCCTACCGTGGGAGAGCCAAACCAGGGGGCATACTTTTTAGACATACCGTACAGTCTGTCTTAAAAGTACCGCGCAAAGTGACGGTGGATCCATCGAGCCTGACTGAGGAAGGGCGTGCTAAATTTGGGTCACCGAAGCAATTGACATCCTCGTCCATTCCTTAGGTCAATTGGTCGGTGACTTTCAAATTAAAACAGACCCTTTCTCGGTCAGGCTTGATGGATCCACCGCCACTTTGCGCGGTACTTCTAAGACAGACTGTACATTGCGTACAAGGTTGTATAAGTCGAAGGGACTGGGGCCGTTGAATACACACCGTCGTTTGCTTTCTATTTTCGGTTATAGCCGAAGAGTTGCTTGACTTTTTCGCTTCCAATCATCTAAGACATTTTTTTCTCGTCTCAGGCCCAGTAAGATTACCTCCAACTCGTGGAGACCTGCACTTCAAGCCAACTAACACACCGCTGAGGGACGGTGTTCACCCGATTTTCCATTAGCTGGCGATAATTCTCCCGCTAAATGGCAGGCCTGGGCTCTGGGCTCAATGCCGCGGATCCTTGTGTTAATTTCCACGAGACACATGGAAATTTAATTACACGTCCGTGAGTCCAACGTACCTATTAACACAGGTAGATCGGATGTTTGAGTAAAGCCCAGGTCACAAATCTGACGTATCTGAGACATTCGTTATAAAGATAATAGTTAAAAAGACGAAAGTCAAAATGCAGTATCGAAATTGAATTTTTATCTTTTTGTCTAATATGAGAGAAAGGTCTATTATTATTGACAAGTAGAAGTATAAAATTAATTCCTGGCTTAAGCTTTTGCCCGTTTGTGTGTACAGCGCATGGTGAAGGGAAAGCTTTACGCCCGAATGACGTCATTACTTGGGATACCAAACTGTGTTCGGTGGGGGTAAGTCAGGTGGCTCAGGTAATATAGGTGATAAAGATTGCATTCCAGCCTTGTTGCATATTGCATTTTGTTAAGGCGGTTATGATCAATGTATAGTAAAACGATTTGCATTTGCATATTATTCCAGTATCTTGCGAATCTCCAATAATTGATCTTTCAAAAATATCAATTAGTTTCTGATCTTCAAAATGCTGAGCTCAAAACCAAGGTAGGCATTGCTCAATGTTCATGCTGATCGACCTGCATCTTACTATATTATTTCATAAATGCTTTTTAACAATGGTCAGTGTTCACAGTTCACCCTGTGACGCCAGCGTGCCTGATTATAATTTCTAGTGATGCCACCTGCCGCATCGCCTTGCCTCTTACGATGACATGTGCCAAGGCAGTATGTTGTACAATGTACATAGTTCCACGCTTAAAGGAAATAGTTCACTTTCACGAAATTATTTTTTTTGCAACGATTTATGATTTTTTATGTTCAAAATAATCGGCAAAGAAAATAAAACCTTTTTATAACAAAAGATTTTTTTCTATATTTTGATATAGGAAGAACTTTTCAGTTTCTGTAAGGCACACGCGATCCAGTATGAAAAGAGCATGTGTCCCGAAAATTCTTCAGAAACAGAGAAATTATCGCAGCCACCGGCATTTGGGCGATCTGCTCGATCTGATAATGTTCCCCTGAATGTCCTAATTGATCAGTACGAGAATTTCTCTAGAGTTCTCGTAGATAATTTCTCTAGTTTCTGAAGAATTTTCGGGACCCATGCTCTTTTCATACTGGATGGAAATATATGCAAGGCACACATCCTCAACGCAAGACACCTTTTTCGGGACGAGAAATAGAATATCTTTGCCTAGGGTGATCGTTGGGCTGTAAAAGCTCCTGATTTATGCTCGTCTCAGCCCAAGCTACGGAACTGCTATTCCAGTTCAAAACCCATGTTAAAAAGTGAACTATTTCCTTTAATCTTTTTTTCTGAAAGACTCAGTGGGCTGCTGAACTGAACGTGGTACGTTCGCCTTGAGACCGCTATGCTGTCGGTAATCGTCAGGTGACCTAGGATTTGGCCTGAAGCTCGAGTGCCTGATCTTGACGTCTGTGTTGGTGTGCTTCCAGAAGCCGTCCGCTCCTGCCGGGCGCCTCTCGATCAAGCTACGACGATATCAAGTTGTCCAGGATGGCTGAGTTTACAGTGGTTACCGCAGACAGCGTGAACGTCACTGTCTCCAGCAACATCACCCAGTATCCCATGCAGAAGCGCTTCCAGAAGGGTCTCACCATTCTGCAGCTCAAGGTACTTAACCCGCGCCCCGCTGGGGTCTGCCGACCAACGCGCCCTGCTGGGGGGGGGGGGGGCAATTTGCCCCCCCCCCCCATCTAAGATCTCGAGAACCACGCAACATAGCGACAAGCGGTAAACGGTGTTGGATAGCCCCATCAGGGAACTACCTTGTGACTCAAATTCGTTGACCTAGGTCAAACCGATGACGTCACAGGTCAGGTCAAATGTCGAATTTTCACCGTTTACAGGCATTTCAAGAAATGCGTTGTAAAATCGAGTAAAATGCATTTAATTGAAAATCATCGATGGGGAAATGTTCGTCAAACACATATATTTTGCTATTTGAGGTCACTGATACCAGGTCAGGTCACAGAGGTCAGGTCACTGAGGGTCACATTATGAAAATATCATGTGATGCATGTTTTATGGTCCATTTTATATACCAAATACGATTAGGGGAGAGGCGGGAGAATTGGGACGCAGGATAATAGTGACACGCCTATATTTTAAAAATGGGCAGCATCCTTGCACGTTTTTTGCTATTATCTTTTGATTGTATGTGTCGTGCAACGATGGGCAGCCTCAGCAACCCTATTGTGGCCGTCAGTTGGGCTGTGCTGGCGGAACACCAAAAACCTTGTTTTTTCGAGTGTTATTCTGAGTTGTCTGTGTAATGCATATGGCAAACTATCTTTCTTTCAATATGTTACGATGCTAGCTTAACACCGTCTTTATGCGTTTATTAGTTTGCATGAATACGCTCTGTAACTGATAAATGACAAGAAAATGTGTGATTTGATACGGCGGTGTTGTGGGAGAATTGGGACACCAAATGGTGAAAATGGTAAAAGGGTGCAAACAGATGTGTTTTACCTTCATGTTTTGGATAAGGTTACAGCTGCATCCACTAACGATAAATACACCAAAGCGGAGACCAAAAGGTCTTACTCTGGTAAGAAAATGGGCATTTTATGGGAACAACGTGATCGTGAAAGACGATCCCGACCTTAAACGAAGCAGATAGTGTGAAGATAAGTTCCAATATATCAATTAATTGCCCAGACATAGACAGAAAAATAATTCGAGATAGAAATGTTGTCCCAATATCTCATTTTTATGCGTCCCAATTCAGCATCGTGTCTGTCCCTTTTCTCCTCAAAATGAGTGTTTTTGTTTTTCTCCACATATAACCACAGGACTACATAGGCTCGGTTTTTATGATGATATGCTGCAGAGAAATGGCCTATCTTTTTATTGGTGCTGCACAAAGCAGCTTGGCTACAATACTTTTCAATTTTGAACAGTTTTTTTGCTATAGCTTGGCCAAAAATGGAGGTATCGATCTAAAATTTGGCATGTATATAGAAGAGCGCAGGAACTATCACATATATTCCGGTTTTTCCGAAATTCGGATTTTTTTTTGGATTTTTTAGCAAAACTTTAATTTTTTCAAGTTTTGCTAAACTTTTTTTTTAAAGTTTTGCTAAAAAATCATTTTTTTGAATTTTTGGGGGTCAAAAGCCAAAATTTTTGAAAATTCGAGATAGCAGTTTTGTAGCGCTATCATTTGTCTACATAACCATATAAAGAACTTTGAACTTGCTTGGTAACCAGGGATGCGGAGCCGGAGCCGGAGTCGGAGCCGGAGCCGCCGGAGCCGGCATATTTTGCCCGGAGCCGGAGCCGGAGCCGGAGCCGGAGCCGTGAAACAATATAGCCCGGAGCCGGAGCCGGAGCCGGAGCCGGAGCCGGAGCCGGAGCCGCCAAAAAAGGGGGCGACTCCGGCTCCTTTTTATTTTTTGAAGAGGAAAAAATAATTGACCTAGTTCGGTTTGACAGTACAAGGCAGTAAAACATATCGTACTATTGGTCTCAATATAAGTGCCCAGGCGACCTGTAGTTTTGATGCGGTGAATACCCTCATCCTCGCCACAATGCGAGTGGGGGTGGCGCTGGCTGGGAGGAGGGGTGCACTCGGCCCGAGTTGTGCACAGTGATGCAAATGGGGTTCACGAGTGGCCATAAATACAAAAAATGCCCAAAATTCAAGTTCACTTAATCGAATAAATCGTAATATGGTCAGTCAGGCAAATAATTGGGGTGTCTGAAAAAGTATGATTTTAATGTTTTTGTCAAAACCGGCCTCGTGTATGATTGTCAGAAGTCGAGACATTTTCGATGTCGTAAAATGACTGTCAGGTACTTGAAATTCAAGTGCCGCTAGCGTGCGTTCATGTCATAAAAACTGCAAAAAGTATGCATGAAAATGATCCCCGAAACCTGCTGCTGCTAATGCCACGTCATAAAAAGCCGTATCTATTTTGGTTTGGCGGTGAGCTAACTATTTGTAATTATGTTGCAACCGCAGTTTTTTACCAAAAATATTTGCTTTCAATTCACCTACAGCACTTCACACAGTGTGTGCCCGTTAGTGCACCATATCATAGCATTTCCTAATCATTTCTGAGTCGCATAGTGAAAGAATTAAGGTGCTAGCACAGGGCTGACCGGCGCTACAGAAGTTTTCGTCCGGCACGGTCGGGTGCCGCGGCGCAGCGGACCGCGCCGCCGCGCCGCCCGGACGCCGCGCGGCGGCACCCACCCGCCCGCTGCGCGCCCACTGCGGCACCCGACCGTCCGGACAAAAACCTCTGTAGCCCCGGTCAGCCCTGTGCTAGTGCCTTAATTTTTTCACGATGCGACTCAGAAATGATTAGGGAATGTTATGATATGGTGCACTAACGGGCACACACTGTGTTAAGTGCTGTAGGTGAAACGAAAGCATTTTTTTCTTAGTAAAAAACTGCGACTGCAACATGATGATAAATAGTCAGATTACCGCCAAAGCGAATAAGATACGGCTCTTTGTGACCCGGCAGTAGAAGCAGAAGGCTTTGGGGATCATTCCCATGCATAATTTTTTCAATTTGTACGAAATGAACGCAAACCAGCGGCGTTTGAACTTGCGAGTGTCTGACCGTCATTTTACGACCTAGAAAATGTCACGACTTCTGACGATTATGCACGAGGCCGGTTTTGACAAAAACATGAAAACCATGTGATTTCAGATGCCCCAATCATTTGTCTACTCGGCCATATCGCAATTAACTCGATTTGATAAACTTGACTTTTGGGTATTTATGGCCACTCGTGAACCCCATTTGCATCACTGTGTTGTGGCGAGGGTAAGGATATTCACCGCATCAAAACTACAGGTCGCCTGGGCCCTTATCTTGAGACCAATAGTACGTCATGGGCCATCAAGTGAATGAAAAAGCCGAATATCCCCAGTATCCCACAGTACGCAATCAACTTCCTGTCTGCTCCTCCCCCCCCTCACGTCTATTGCATCCCCAGAACATGAGGACCGGTCATCAGGTGACGGCCATTGTTTTGAAGCCAGTGCAGTGGACTGCGACTCCCAGCACCGTCTCTTCCCACCCCCCCCCCCCCCCCAATGCAGCCGAGATGGGTGTCAGCTTACGATGGTTCAGTGAACTCCGATTCGCGGCGACTGCGTTTCCAATGCCATCGCTTCCTAGTCCTTTGTTCTGCCAGTTCTCTCCGAGGTGCGTTTGCGCGGGGACGCGGTGAGCCGGTCATGGCAAGAGTAGGTAACGCGTATAACCAATCCAATTTTTCTTCCACCCGTATTTAATTGATTGCATAGGGGATGTACTGAGTCGGAGCCGGAGCCGCCGGAGCCGGACCATTTTACTCGGAGCCGGAGCCGGAGCCGGAGCCGCCATAACATTTCACCCGGAGCCGGAGCCGGAGCCGATTTTTTCTCCGGAGCCGGAGCCGGAGCCGGAGCCGTTTGAAATTTCCACGGCTCCGCATCCCTGTTGGTAACTGTAGCTTTTGTGAGCGTTTCACGATTTCATGTTTTTTGCTCATTTTTGCTCGAACATGTCCTCAGTTTGACCTCAATAACTCCTGACCTAAGGTGACCTAAGTATTGAAATTTGGTGTGAATGTGTCAAATTCATGCCAGGAAAGGTACTGAAAATTGCGCCGCCGTTTTCTTGCTATTTAAGAAAACCACAGGGGGGGAGCAAATTGCCCCCCCCCCCCAGCGGGGCGAGGGTTAACATTGTTTTACCAAACTCCATTGACCATAGCTGGTATTGGGTAATTGATTCAGCCATAAGGTGAAATCGAGAAAAGTGATGCTTGTTGATGCGAAAAAGTTGATGCTTGTTTGATGCTAAATATCTAAGAAAGCCTGAATAATTTACGAAAGAGGTATAATCTAACCCTCGCCAGACCTATCGGTTTTCTACATAGGCCTCGGCCGAGTAGAGGGGGAGGCGAGGGGAGGGTGGGTGGGGGGATGGGTGGCGGGGTGGTTACGACACACCCTCGCCATTTCGCCCCTAGTTGAGCTCAAGGCTATATAAACCAGGTAGAACGCTCCGGGAAAAAAGTTGGAAACAATAAATTAGTTGCGGCATTCCCTGATGACGCGAATGTGGGTCAGCGGCCGGCGGCCGCTAACACTGTATGAGGATGAATGCTGGAACTTTTGCTTGTTGTAGATTGCGCTAGGCAGTTAAATGTTAATGTTAGGATATGTTTCGAAAGTAAATTGAACGACGCTTCGAACGCCGTCAATGAATTTGCGATACGACGACTATTTGTTTAGTTAGAGCCGGCGAACTTTTACCTTCCGACCGCGCGGGAAGGCGATATGGTGCCACACTGACGGTTTTTACGATAGCTCAAAATTCTTTTGAGCTAAAGAGCTGAAATTTGACATGTCCAATCTTTTAATCAAGCTGGATCTTCTGGTACAAGTCGCATATTTAAGGTACATCAGGTTGTTGACCTATACTGTCGCTCGTGAGCCTCTACACAGTCCAAAACAACGCAATTTCTGAACACTCAGTGCCAAGAAATCCTTCACAGAAAGATGACACTTGGCAGAAAGAAGAGCTGTCGGTTTCTTACCGTTCGTATGTGTTGTGTTTTCACAAGAGTTTAGTAAGGTCAGGCCCCTCACGTGACCTCCC